TATATATATATATAAAAATAAAAAGTATACACAACACTAAAACTATTAAACATTTGGGTATTTAAAACCCATCCACCTTTTTTGTTTGTATGGTGACGGGCTCTATTTGCAGGCCCAGATTGTTACCTTTTGTGCTGTTTGAGGATGCCAATGTTGCCTGTATTTATGATGTTGTCACCATGTTTTCTGAAACTTCATACTTACCATGTTTACAAAGATTTGTTTGCTGTACATAGACTTTTTACAGTAATGTGCTTTGCACAATCAGTGTGGCTTCTGTCTGTAAATTGTTAATGGTCTGTACTACTATAATTTTGAAAACCTCCCACTGAAAATGTTAGTGGTTATTTAACTTCATGAATGGTTTCGAGTTTCCTAAATCTTGTTGTTTAGATCTAATATTAAACCCCAAATTTGGTTGTACTTACTTGGTTGTTCATACTAAGACCAAAATGGAAGTTAATGAAAACTTAATTTTGAACTTTTTTTCTAACAAGTGCCAAAATGATTGCTATAGTTTTTGCAGTTTATTCATAATTACAAATGCTGGCAAGTTTCTGGACCTACATAAGTGAATCGTGAACACAAAGAAAGTTTGTCTGCATTTTGACCACGTGGGTGCTACTCTGTCCTTTGCTTCCGATTGTTCTGAACACTGGTAATTTTAAGAATTGTTGCACTTGGCAAATGAGTCTTGCCCTTAAACTTCACTTACACTGCCAAGTGCAAGGGTTTGGTGCTTAGTTAACTTACCCTTATTGCAGTGCTTCTTGTGAATAGCTAACGCTTCTGAACTGGAACTGTACAGTTTGTATTTTAAAGCTTCTGTAAAAGTAAACTATTTGCTTTATTAAAGATATACATTTAATAGGTCATACCTGTTTAAAATATGCACCTTGCTGAAAATGAGCAGCACCTTAAACTGTAACTTCGGTTTGTAAACAAAGATCTTATTACATTAACATGGGATTATTTAACAGTTTGAAAATTGTCAACTGCCTACTTACTGACTCTATCATATAAAAATGAACTTTATGCACAGTCCAATCTTTAAAGCTGCTTTCTCAAGTGATGTCACAGAAGAATGTGGTACAGACGATGCCTCAACAGGGACTTTGAAGCAGTAGTGCAGGTAAACATTGCCAGAATCACATTACTTGAATTTTTAGGAATCAGAGTCAATGACTTTGATGGTAGTAAGTAAAAAGTAAAGTCTGTCCCCCTCCCTGCTGTGCTCAAGGCTATTAGGTTAGTATGTGTTAATTGTGGTACTGGAATGCCGTGTGCGGGGTGTGCAAAGCTGCTTTCTTCCTTACTGGATAGGAGCACACATGCACGCAGCTGGCCAGCAGTGCTGACAGTACCCAGGGAGCACCTGAACCCATTTTGATTATGCAGAAATTGACTTGTTTACAGAGCATTTCAAGCACAGAGAAAAAGCCTTAATAAACTTGGGTAAAAGCTTCTAAAATAATAGGAATCACATTACTTGAATTTTTAGGAATCAGAGTCAATGACTTTGATGGTAGTAAGTAAAAAGTAAAGTCTGTCCCCCTCCCTGCTGTGCTCAAGGCTATTAGGTTAGTATGTGTTAATTGTGGTATTGGAATGCCGTGTGCGGGGTGTGCAAAGCTGCTTTCTTCCTTACTGGATAGGAGCACACATGCACGCAGCTGGCCAGCAGTGCTGACAGTACCCAGGGAGCACCTGAACCCATTTTGATTATGCAGAAATTGACTTGTTTACAGAGCATTTCAAGCACAGAGAAAAAGCCTTGGTTAAAAGCTTCTAAAATTTTGGGGTTTCTCCCTTACACATAATTGCTGAGTAGTGTGGCAATCCCACCAGTCCTAGGAAAGTTAACGTTTCTGTTTGACTAAAGCACGGAGCAGCTCTTTTGTTAATGTATTACATTAATTCAGAATATACTACAACTTGCAAAGAACACCTTTAGTTTATTTAGCACAGTTGTTCTGATACAGGATACAAGAGTCTACTGCTTTTATAGATGGAACACATGCCCAACTTTGCTATGTTGGAGGTAGGATTCACTTCGAGTAACATTTACCTTGTTATTATAGAGCCATACTCATGAAATGGGCTCTGCTTCCTATAGTGCTGTCTTGAGAACCAGGCTATTCCCAGAAGTACACTGAATTGAGTTTTTCAGAGGGAAAAGGGAATGTGATAATTATAATTCTTAAGCTGTGTTAGTTACAGTAACAAGAAAAGCTGGCCTAATACTCCACTGAAAACTACATTCACATTTTAAACGCAGAAGTACAGATTACTTTTTACCTGCTTTTTTTCAAACCCACACCTTCTTGGTTTTCAAAGTGCGACTCTAAACTATTTCTACAGCCTCTGAAAGCAGCAGTGCTCCCATCCAGGTAGTGCTGTCAGTCTACAGGCTTCTGCATCCTGGGCGGAGTGGCATCAGCAATTGTAGCTAAATAAATGAGGTTCCTGTGCAGGATATGCTGGTACCTATGAGAGGAAGAAACATAGGATCTGGGAGACGTTCTTTTCTAGACAACTACCCATACTTGCACTCATGTACGCTGATCAGTATTTGCAGTAAGGGAAAAAGAAAACTAGAATAATAAATCAGGGGAAACTTAGTGTTCTTATGCTGAAGCCCGGTATGACGTACTGAGCTGCACTCGGTAGCCGAGCATGTGCTACTACCCAACTTCGATGGGAAGCAGGACATGGAGCTCGCAGCCCTGGAAGCCCAGAACGGCAGCGGAGCGGGAGAGGCCAGAGCTGCCTGCCGGGCTGGTCTGAGCAGCTGCAGCCGCTCCCCGCGGCTGCTGGGGCGGCAGAGCCGCCGTCTGCTTGCGACACCGCTCGGTGCGCACGCTCGGGCAGGGAGGGCAGAGCGGGCGTCACGGGAACCCTGAGCACACAATATACATCTCTAAAAATGATTCTGGGGAAACCCCTTCGTAAGCCCAGACGCATTTTCCTCGCAGCGGCAGGAGAGCTCTAGGAGCGCGAGCCGCGTTTCACTCCCGTTAGCGACACCGGGGCCCCCAGCGCTCCGCCCTGCCCGCCCACGTCGGTCACTTACTGCACGCAGTCGGTGGCGCGGCCCTTGTTCTGGTACTCCACGATGCACCGGATCAGCTGGTCGTTCTCCTCCAGCAGCTACGGCACAGAGCACCGTCACCGCCCGCCCCGGCCTCCGCCCCGCCCCGGCCAGCTCTGCCCCAAGGGCCTGGGTCACCGTCCGGCTCAGTCTCGGCCCGGTTTCGCTCACCCGCTGCAGCGTGTCCTGGTTCACCTCCGCCGTCCCGCGCACCCGCTCGGGCACAAACGCCACGGACATGGCGGCTCCCGGCTGAGGGGGCGCGGCGGCCCCGCCCCCGGCCGCGCGCACGCGCCGCTGCCGCCGGGAACGGCCGAGCCCGGCCCGGTCCAGCCCGCCCCGCGCGCAACAAACGAGCGCCGCCGTGCCGCTTTTACTGAACAGTTTATTCTGGTTTAAAATAAAATAAAAAAAAAACCAAACAGAAAGCCTGGGCGGGCGGGGAGGGGCTACGCAGGGTTTACCCCCGCCCGCGGCTCCCGGCCCGGGTATTTACAGCTGGAACACCTCAGACAGTAAAGAGTTATTGCAACAGGACAGCACTTGCCGCTACGGTCAAAAATCTCAACAGGTGTTCAGAATCGTGACTTGTGGATCCCAAAAGGCAGTTGTTAAACATGCAAAAACATTACTAAACAATATTATCTAACTTCTACAGCTGTCAAATACTTGACCTTAATAAGGAAACCAATTACAAAATACTTCCTTGTAGTGCTATACAAAAGTTATAAAATTAAGATTCCATCAACCACTTTTAAATATTCCAATTTTTCAACAGTGCAGTTTTTCACGTCTTTATCACCACTGAACATTCTGAAGTAAAAAAAAATAAATCAGCAAATTAGATCAAAGTGATGTAATCTTTGGATCCCTTTATTCCTGTGGCCTTCATACACATACACAGACACAAATGACCAGGTTTCTATTTCAGCATATCAGAAAGTTGCAACTAGTTATCCAGAATTGGCAAAAAGTCCGTACTGTCATTTGTGACTTCGTGGTCTTAGAACCAGAGTCTCAATGTCTCCAAGCTACGGTCTATCAAAATGCAAACAACTTCAAACACTAAGAATTCTTTAAATTGCTCATGTCTACAGGTATTACAACAAAGTTAACGTTTCAAGAATTGACAAATGGAGACAGACTTTTATCCCAGGCATTCCAGGAGAATCACCAACTCGTGTGCCTGGTCCATTATTAAAAAAAGTTAATATTTCTCACTAAGTAAAATCAATTGCAAATCTTGACATATGAAAATTCCTTTTCTCCTTTTTTTGAAAATACTTCCTTAACTTGGTCAAATCCTGTGATATGCCATAAACTACAAAATCAAATTCTTGCAAGAGCAGTGAAGCGTGTATCCAGTTTTGTGTAATGGAAGAACATTTTCAAAACTTCATTACAGTCCAAATATAAAATCAAACATTTAAGCTTGAAAAGCTGCTAAAGAAAAAGAAACCCAACTAATTCAGTGTTCTTCAGCATATCAACTTTCTGCAATAACAGTATGTTTACCGACTTAAAAATGTTTATTCTTTAAAAAATTAGTTGCTTTTTATACAGCTATACAAAGTTTGTAATGTTTCTTTGGCAATGGGATATAATGGAATTTTACAACTATATAAAAACTTTCCTTTGCCTAAGAAACAGTATTTACTGTGTGTACATATCTGACTGACAAAGCAAGTTTTCTACTGTCCAGCACCCTAGTTGATACAAGAACAACTACCTCAAAAGGGATTTTACAGGATTTCCAAAAAACAACCTTCGGTGGGTCAAAACACTCACAGTATCGACGGCCTTCTGCATACCATTGTCCTTACAGCTTGAAGCAATTATCAAATACAGTTTAGTAATAAGAAAAATCCTTTCAGTGATGAAAAAATACTTAAAACTCCATCGAAGTACTGCTTATAATTAACTATACATAAGAAATTACTTATCCTTCTGTCTCAAATATATTTAATGCTTACTGTTTTCAAAGATGGCCATTTCTCAAAAGTAACTGCATTACACCCCTTTGAAATTAAATAGTTAAATCCCAGTGCTGGTGACAAGTATACAGCAAATTAACTTCATTCTTTGCAGAGATCAAAACTAATTCTCTGATTCAAGAAGATCTAGACGTTCACCTGGTTAGTAGCTTTCTTGTAGACTACGCAGCAACTTTGTTGTCTTTCTAGAGGGAACAAAAGCACAGTGTTAAAATTCATTTTGCAAAACAAACCCTACAAACTAATCTGAGCAACAGCCCTGGGAGAAGTTGTGCTGTGCAGGCTATTCCCCACGTCCTGCAGCAGAAAGGAGACCTCTGGAGGAGATCAGGTGGGCATCTGGTGAAGCCCCCTCAGTCTGGCACTGAGTAGAGCAGCTCATCACTCCGAATACAAAGCACAGCACAAATCCTCAGCCCTTACACCACCTCCTACTCAACTGGAAGGAGGCAAAACTCTTGTTCAGAAATTCAAATTGCTAATCTTCAATCCCTCATTTCCATTCACATTCAGCTACCCGAAGTTTCTTTAAGTCATAGGACTAACTGTTGAAAACTAATCAAGGAACAGCTGAGGGATGTTTCTCTCACAACAGAGAGAAATGTGCTGTGATGAAATCCCCCATCCAAGAGATTCTTGTTTGCAAAACTCTAACGGCTCATGCAGTAAAAAAAACTATCAGAAGTTGTTGTTCTGTCCCCCTCAGAACTCTAAAAGCCTAGTTTATCTGAACCAGTCTGGATTGCTGTCTGATTCTAACCAGTACACCAGTCTGTAAGATTTGTGCCAACTCATTCACAAAGAATTCAAAAGTTTGTTGCACAATGGAAGCAAGTTAAATTATTCTCCCTCATTCTTTGTATTTTACAATATTGCTTGGAAAAATGCTTGCAATTTACATCTCTAACACTTGCATTCAATCTGCAGAACCTTTTTTCCCCTTCTTTTTCTTCTCCTCCCCAATACCAGCTATCAAATAGCTACTCAGGGCACGTGACGAAAGGCAACCTTTATTTTTGAGTATTGACAGTAAAATGATGCTACGTAACTAAAACTTCAGCATTAATGGACTTTCAAAAAAGTAGCTCAGAGCCCCTGCAAAATACCACTCAAAAAGTTCTAGTCCAACATCAAATCTAAAAGCAGGAGACCGTGACCACCCCTTTCCCAGAACAGCGGACGGGGTCAGAGTAACACGAAGTGCGCTTTACCCTATATTCGAAGTCAGCGAACTCCCGGCCTCCCCGGCCCCCTCGGAATCCGCCGCGGAAGCCGCGGGGGGCGGTGAAGCCGCCCCTGGCGCCGCCCCGGCCCCTGCCCCCTCGGAAGCCGATGACGCCCCTGCCCCTGTAGCCGCCGCGGCCGCGGTTGGGGCGCAGGGGGATGCCGAAGGTCTCGGCGTTCAACCGCCGCTCCTCGGCCCAGGTGGGTCGCCGCTCCCTGCAGCACAGAACCAACACGGACTGCTGTGAAACTTGGGGAGGAAGGCAGAGGCGCCAGAAAGGCCGTGGGGTGAAAAACGATTCGTGAATCACATGGGAAATCTCCACAGTATCCCTTCCACAAAAACCCAGGTGTCTGCCACAGTTCACAGGACTCACCAAGAAGGAACATGGTACAGATAGATTAGATTAATTAGATATTAATAATGCTCTAAGAATGTGGCATATTGAAAAGCACACTCTGTATCCTCTGCACACAGTATCATTTGAAGCAAGAAACAGCTTACAGTTACAGATGTTATTTTATCTGGCTGTGAGTACAACCAACAACTCCCCCTCCCCCTCCTGCAAGTCAAAATAGGTCAGCAATCCACAACATCGTGTCTAATAAAAAGGCAGCAGCAAAAGATAAGGTTTAATTTTCCTGAAATGCTATCTGCCCGTTTGAACAACACTACTGGCCGAGACAGTTATGTAATCTGCTTAGAAACCATTACCAAAGCAGGGTCATAATTGATTTAACTGAAGTGTTAATTTAGCAGCAAAGCAATACAAACAAACCCCTCCACGTCTTAGTAAATCTGAAAAGGAGATTCTAGAGCCTGTGCATTACGTTCTAAAAGCATGGCTCTAAAACATCTTAAAATAACTTCCTATGACCATACTGCACTCGCCCACAAAGAAATTTTGTGCTTCTTATTCCCATTTTGTTTTTGCCAGCTGCATCTGGAAATAAGCTCTAATCACCTTTGACTCAGAGTTGGTTGTAATGAGTAGCACTGACAATACTTATGATATAAACATGCATTAAGCAGACTAACAAGCTTCTCCTGGCAGGCCATACCTATTGTCATCACAGGAAATGTTATCAAAGAAGGATTTGGTTTTGTCATAGTAGCAATTGGGTCCAAGTGGATCTTCCTCATCGGCATTCCCTTCGCTATTTTGGGTATCAACACCTGAGTCACCTTTGTCTTCTCCATTTACGGGCTTCTCTGGTTTCTCAAGTTTATCTTCTGGAAAATAAAAAGTAAACAGAAGCCTAAAAAAACCAGCACTGTTAAGTTATTCCCAGTCAGAGAGGAACTATATTGAATGCTACAAAAATAATTTAATGTGGAAATCAAATAATCTGACATGTAAATTAGGATGTATTGCTGTCTGGAGGTTTCTATGCTTTCTGTGGGTTTAGTTACCAAAAAATCCTGCAGCAGAACAGAATTGATACCCATCTAATTTCTCCCCTCTTCAGATACCTCCTCCCCAGGCTGAAGAGCCTCATTCAGTGAATCCTCCTAAAAGCCATCCCATGGTTTTGTTCGTCCCCGTTGTCCTTCTCTTTTGTTTTCTGGTTTTGCTGCCATCTCCTCTGAGACATGGGGCCAGCATTCGGTTGCTTTGCGATGTATTTATTTCCTAATAATGCCTCAAGTTCAACTCACTGTTTTTAACCAAAAACAAAGCTGACTGTTCAACAGCAGCAGCTATTGCTATTTTCAAATCTCATTCCTAAATGTCTACAGCTTAAATCTCACAATGCTGTGCATAAACTTCAGACAACCAGCTCAACCTTTCACACCACACACAAGAACTACCACACTCACAAACATTTCTATAGCTATTTATGGTCAGCATTCCCTTTTCTCTTTATTATTCTGAAAAAACCAGTATCAACAGCAAACCATCAACTGATTGAAAAATGATCCAGAAAAACAAGTGAGCACCACAGGACAGATCGTATGGGACTCAACTGGTCTGTTTACTCTACATTGACAACTGACCATTCATTCCCACCTCTTGTTTCTCAGCTTTCAGCCAATCATTCATTGAAATCACTCACTGTATTAATCTGCAACAATTTTGTCCAAAAATAGTGTAGCAGTGTAACAAACAAGTGGCTGATCACAAGAGAATTAGATAATCAAAACAGAAGCCTGCTAGAAAATGAGTGCTGGCAGCATGGTTTCTAACTACTCCTGTGTTCCTCTGGAAAAGGATAAAAGCAAGGAAATGCTAGAAACTTTCAAACAAACTCTTCTACATACTACAATGAAGTTCTGATCCCAAACTCTTTTGCTTTTGATCTGTAATCGACATTATAATTTTGGTCTAATAATTGAAAACCTAAAACATTAATTTTCTTTTATTGCATCCTTTCCAGAACTTTAAAGTAATAAACATTATTGGGACTTCTGGTTAAGTAATCTGCATTTTTAACAGAGACTTGTTAGAACTTCACAGATGATATCTGCCAGTTAAAATTCGTTAAAAACTCAAACAGTGACCCAAGTATTTAATTAACATATGACCCCAGTTTACTTATTAATTGGTTTTTAAATTTATTTTTTAATGACTGCAAACAAGACGTAATACTATATGCCTTGTAAGAGTTGTTCTCCAAGGCAGGATCAAAACAGCAAGACAGTATTTCCATGCTGAAATCTAAAGTAAAAATTGTTTTACCTTTTAATTTAAGTTTATTATGAAATTCTCTATCAATTTCCTCCTTATTGAATTGTGCATTTGCACTTTCAAAGTCAAAGTCCTTCTCAAACTTCATTGGACCATCCCTCCTAATACCAAATCTTCCTCGGCCCCCTCTGTGACCTCCACGGCCTCTCCGTACTGCGGGTGCACCTGGAACTGAAAAGAGGGAAATTCTGTTTGGTTTTGCTTTGTGGATTGGCTTTTCTCTGAAGATGGTGGAGGGTGTTCTGTGTGTTGGTTTGCTTTCTAATTCCTGGGGTAACAGGTTGGGACTTCAGAAGTGCATGAAGAGAATGCCTGTTGTTTGAAATCCCATCAGAGCAGCTTGTAATTTGTAAATTCACTTACAGTAACGACAAAAGTGACACAGAAAGCATAACAGTACTAAATTTGTGTGCTAAAAGACTCTTTAGAAGTCATTAAAAGGTTTTGGAAGACAAGTTAAAATATTAGTGGCTTTTCAGTCAAGTATTTTTCTAGAAAGGCTTTTATTTCAGGCTATTATGTTTATAAATCCATGATATAAACATATACTTGATTTATATTTTTATTTAAATTGATTTCTTAGTATAAAACAACAAGAAAAGATTTTTCTCTTTAATGTTGGCTTCATTTGCTTGTATTCTTCTGGCTCAATGCAAAGTTGTTACCCTCTCAAAGGAAAATGTGAAAGAATTTATGTATTTTAGCAAATTTAAAAAAAAAAAACGTATTGGTCTGAAAGCAACGATAGCTATTTCTCAAAACATGATTTACCAATTTGTCGTTTGTTTTCATTTCTGAGTTCATTTTCTGATCTTGAAACCTTGTGTGCTTCAGCTAAAGTTGGAAATAAAAACATGATTTGTTTATCCAATTAGATATTTTTGATCATACTTTTGTATATATAGTTCAGATTTTTAAAAAAATCCAAACCTATAAATGCAAATCACATGTTGAAATCATAAAAAAAAAAGTAATTTAGCATATATGCTTAAATTTAAAAATAAATATGTATCTAATCCAGGTCTCTGCTGGCCAGCCTACCAGCAATAGACAGCAGGAAAATTCCTATATACTACCCTTTAAAAGAGCACTTTGTATGTGTATGGAAGGAATTAAGCTGTATGAAAACTATCCAAAGCTACCTCGTCTGTGCTCTTGGTTCTCTAGGGATTTTTGGCTTGCAGACACCAAAGGTCTGGTTTGTACAGGACTCCTCCTCCCAACTGGTGCTGGAGTGGGCAGGTGGGCTGAAGCTGTTTGTACAGCTTGTTCCATGGTGGGGCTCCTTCTCAAATGGTCCATCTGAGGGCTTGAACGACCTGGGGAAAAAATCAAACCAAACCAGGTTATTTCTCATCTACAGAGGTGAGTTACTGGAGTTACTGGTCTCAACCAATCTAGACTGACAGGTTTATCTGCCTTGGCAGTTAAGGCAGCTGTGTCAAAAAAAAAAAAAAAAAAATCTGCACCATCAGATCCACTAATTCAGAATAAAGGATGTTTAGGAATACCCCTTCCCTCACTCTAAAATAAAATAATGGGTGGGACACCCAATCCCTACCAACCCATTAACGATGTACACTTAGCTGTGGAATCAAACTTTGGCATTGACTGGAGGTAATAATGCTCTTTCTGCCTCCCTGGGATGCCAAGTGGGAAGAGGCTGCTCCCAAAGGCAGCTGTGGTGCTGCTCAGGCACTGCTGCAGGATCCCTGCCCACGCAAGGACAGCGGCACGGGTGGGCTCAGTGCAGGGAAGGAGCTGGGGGAGCTGCCCCCCACAGCACTGCTCACACAGGGCCACGTGCAGCACCTTCAGAACAGAGCCATGGATCCAGCCAGACAAGCTTACAACACCAAATAGGTAAATCCACTAAGAAATTAGACCAAGACTCAAGTCCCAGTAAGTGAAAGAACAAGGTTCTATCTATCTCATTACAAAACTAACAAAAGGAAAACAAAAAATAAACCAAACCCATGAACAAAACAATAAATCCAACCATAACACACTTGCAATTGACAAGGATGAAAAGTATTTCTAAAAGCAAGCACTCAGAAAAGCACAGGAAATGTTGTGGCAGAATGTATGTTCACCCAGAGCACATGTCATACATGTCCACAAACCGTACAGGCTTTAACTGCAGAAAACCAAACTTCTGTTTCAAAAGAGAAATGCTCAGCATACTTTTGTCCCTTGCATTAATCCAACAAAGCAGAACCTATCTTTGGCAACTCACTCAACTAGTCCTAGAAACACTCCTAACGGGTATACAAATCTCAGCTGGAATTTAGGAAAAAGGCCTATGTGCTGTAAGTGTTTTTCCTTTTACCATGACTGCATAATTTAAAAACAGCATTAGGAATATATCTCGGCACACTCTTTGACAGCAAGGAAGAGTGGAAGAGCAGGAAATAATGGGGTCTGGGTTTTTAAGGAGCAATGTTAACAACATCTGCATGAAGGTGAGGGTGAAGGTGTTCAGTGTTTAGTTTCTTTTTTCTTTGCCATTCAAATATCATCCAGAATCTCATTTTTTCCAGTATTACATAAACTATCCATACAGTTCCTGTTAATATTAAGCTGATTTAAAAGTCATGTCAACACCTCTACAGGAAATCAGGTCTGTTGTTAATATCATCTATGTAACTATGCACAAACAGAAGAACTAGAGTTAGGAATAAAGATCTTAAAATTTTAAACTGAAGGACTTCCCATTTCTCTCAGTATGAAGTATCTGCAGTTCTGCCACGTTATTAACAAAACTAAGTACTGAATTTCCACATGTATCTGCTTCCTAACACTATCTCACTTAATTAAGCCCTACTTCTCATTACAGGTGATTTAAAGGTAACAATAAATGTGTTACCACCTGCAGCACTCCAAGATGTAGAGAAAACACACTTAAAGAGCAAACACAAAGCCTCTCAGTGTTTCCTGGGCTTAATACCAAGTGTTTTTGTGAGAGAATTCAGCTGTTTGGTTGATGTTTCTGGCAACCACCAAAATCATACAGGCACAACTTGTCAAAAAAAGACTGAAGTCACTAAAAAAGATTTTACCTTGAGACATCTGTGTTTTTAGTGATCTTGCATCTGTTGTAAACGCAGAACCAACTGCAGTGCTTTGGGACATGCTAGCACTGCCTGAAGAGTCTGTTCCAAAAGATGTTAAAGAACCTCCTGCTTTGAAAGAAATAATATAGTTGTAAAATCTGGTTTACTTTTTTTTAAATTAGCACTACATGATTAGAGAAGCTTTATTAGGCAGTTATTCTAGAGCACACGTAAGTCTGCCCTTCCCATACATTTTGAGTGTAATCTAGCAGATGTATGTACATAGGCTGGTAAGACTAGTATCTTGATTTTTCAATCTAAAATGAAAAGCAAAAGAGCACTTCTAACTTCACCATCACAAGTATAAACAAAACACAGTCATCTTATGGAGCCATACACGTTACTGGTATATATTTCCACGTAAGATACTTTCAGCAAAAATATTACTGTCACATACTGTTAATTGGTATCAGATTACAGCCAATTCTACAGTCTCTCTTTTGCATGGCTAATGTTTTCAGTACCAGGAGTAACACTGCTGCCAGAAGAGTTTTGAGACTGTAAGTTCCTATGAGAAGAACTAAACTGTGAAACAAACTCTCAGGGAGGAAGGAAAGTTGGTTGGTGAGTGTCAGAGAGAATGTGCAGGCTAAAGGAGCAACTAGCCCACGCAGCTCACAAATACTCCCAGCATCTATTTCCCAGCTAGCCAACACCTCCTGAACAGCTGGAGGACTGCACTGGCACATGGTTGCTGAATAATCCAAATCCTTAGTTAAGGCACACAGCACCTGCTCAACCCAACAGCACAGCTATGGGGCTTCCCTGGAGGGGCTGCCTCTACCACTTGTGAAATATAAAGAATACTGAGAGAGGTATTTAGTCCTCAATCATAATTATTTCGATTTAAGATGCAAAGACTATGAAGAACTCTACTTTCGAGCTGAACTGCAGAACTAACAGAGATGGAAGACTTTGAATCTGCCTTAGGATAAGCCACCGATGAAATTCTAAGCAGTGATGATTACAGTCTGTGCACAGAGAGCTTCACTCCCAGGAAAACACCAGACAACCAAAGTGAACCTACCAACTCCCACAGCGCCGAACTGCTGCCCCACCAGCGGGCTCGGGCTGAACTGACTGTACGCAGGCATCCTGCCAAAAGGACCGTAGGACCCCACAGACTGGAATGAAGACGTAGTCGAAGATCCTAGTGAAGACTAAAGACAAAACACACGACACGCTAGCAAAAATTCGTATTTACACCAGAATTAGGAAACAGTTCTGTGAGGCAAGACACGTAGAAATTCTAAAATAAACTTTCTTCACAAGTACGTACAGCTTAGAAAGCACTTTTACCCTTCCGCCATCACAGACCTGCGGAAACAGTAACACAAAATTTTGCAATCTTTTCCCTACAGCCTCAGACACCAGACTCTCTTGTCAAACACAGACATATAAGCTTTGTTGGCAAACTTAGGAAGTGCCCTATCTTTTTCCTTGAAGTTTCAAACCCCACAGGTACAATAAGACACTCAAGCATACTGGAGGAGGCTGTGGCTATCACTATTATTGGGGTTCACAGTAATGCAACTTCACCACTCTTGACTACAACTGACAGAGGGACTTGCACCAAATTTAATAAAAGTCCTTGGAGAAATACAAGGGCACATCATGAGGAAGTTCAAGAATTTTATCCTACAGAATAGATAAAGTAGAAGAATCACATTACATGGGATTATTGACTTCCATTTGAATCAAGAGATTTCCTCTTGCTCTCAGGGATGATTTTAAGATACTCCATAAGCACAATCAACATGCCAACAAATTTTTGAGAAAACTATTTATCAGTCTGTTTATTACAAAATGACAGACTAACTAAATCTGAAGACCTCAAAGTTGTAAGCTGCTTTCCCCTCAGAAACCAAGTATTCACTATTCAAATAACTGCCTTATAGTATGAAGCCTGTTTAAAAGCATAGCTAGACGAACACTTTAAAGTCATAGTCAGCAAAAAATGTTGAACATTGAAACAAAAATAAAACTAACAAGCAAACAAAAGCCACTAATTATCTGGAGCTATTGCAACATTTACTCCGTTTGATTTATACCAAGCCTGATCTTCCCAAGAACTGTGTGTCCTAAGCCAAGTCCCTTTCAGAAAAGGCATCAAGACCTACAAAACACCATTAGTTGGTTTTGAAAAGACAGCAGCTTTGATATGTAGTGCACTGTGCTAGAGTTAGATTTCAACCTTCATTGTCACAGTTAAAGACTGTGAAAGAAGAAAATCCTTCCAGAGTTCTTTACACTGGCTTGTGAACCTTACAGTGATGAACACTTTAATTTTTAAACACTCAGCTAGAGAGCACTTAAGCTAGCAAGTCACCTCTTCAGCAACAACTATTTACAACTCTGTTGTGACTTACCTGAACAATGGCAGGGTCCTGTGGCAAGGAGCACTGAGGTTTTGGTGGCTCACAGACAGTCAGGTCCTTAATGTCGCTGCCGCGGAATATAATGTACTCGAAGACCTCATCGCGAGGGGGGATGGGTCTGTCCGTCGGTCTGTCTTCTGTACCAAAGGAGCGAACTGCGGACGTGGGAAGGGAGGAAAAGAATGAGACGTCCCACATTCAACAAAAGGGTTCCAAATATACTGCAGAGACCAACAGCTTTAAATAAAAAGGATAACATTTCATTGAGAAAAAACACCATATTGAATAGGCATCGTATTCTTCACCATTATCAACTCTCCTCAGACAAACAAGTAATTTAAGCTAAAAAAATCTGAGTTAAAATCCAAGCTGAAAGACTGAGACATCACTTATGCTATTAATCACATGTTGAATATTTCAATTGTTTTGTGAGGGTAAGGGGAAGCAGCAAGGCAGGTTTTTTTCGCTGGTAAGTCAATCCTATGAATCAAGGAATAAATGAGTCTACATACTTCATATTCTACATTTGCAAAACAGGAAAAACATGCTAATACTACTAAAACCTGGAATATTAAGAACTATCAAATGTGAATTTCTCAAGAGATTCAAACTTTAATAAAACAATTTTCCCTAAGCAAAATGCATTCTTCTTGCTGGTGTAAGGTTCATATGATGTCATATGATCTCTGCCAAATTAAGCAAACTCACTGGGGCGTAACTCTCTTCCTAGTGTGCACCATACCAAGACATTAAATTCCTTGTATGAATTCCAGCAGCTTTCGGACTGCACAGCAATGAAGCAATCAAGCTCTTCCTTTTGCACTACATATAATCACTACCACTACATGGACACCATCACTTGGCTGTCACTGTCCTTTTCCCCACCCTCACACTGCCAACCCTGGGTGAGTATCAAATGAAACAAAGAAATAACTGAAGAAGAGATTTGTCTCCAAGGGCTAGCTGTGTAAGCAAAAACTAAACAATGGACTGAAACCAGAGAGGGCAAAAAAAAGCCAAACCCCCAAAATCATGACAGTCACATTCAATCACAATTTCATAAACTTGTAGCAGCTTTAACAATCCCTCATGATTGTTTATGCTCCAGCCTTTTAGAAAGTGTGTGTTTGCTTTTCAAGGTACAGGTTATGCTGAGGAAAAAAAAATCTGTATTTTGCTTTCATTTACCAGAATTAGATTTCCCTCCATTTTCAGATGCATCAACATTTTGGAGACATCATTAGGCACTTATTTGCAGCCACAGAATCATTAGTCAAGAAAAGCAGAGTCTCCCGTAGAGATATAAAGTGATACTGAGTCATTTCTCAGGCTGCACCAGCCATCTTCCATCACTGTTGCTTCTTATGATACTGCATAAACAGAGCTTAACAGTCAGGTATTAAAATCTTTTTAAGAAGCATAATTCAGGGGTAAAGAGATCATGTCCACACTACAAAGAAAAATAACATTAAGCAGTTACAATTACTTTGTTCGTGTATCATCTAGTGAGCTGACTTTCATGATCTTTTCTGTTTCTGTGCATCTGAAAGTCTGCTCTGAATGGTACTACAAAGTGTGAGCAATGTAAAAAGGCACACACTGTTCAGTTAATGTCAGTCCTTGTTAGGAAAGGAATCTGTCTTCTTTTCCTCTACAGAAAAAAAGTGTCTGGAGCTTAAGAATTGGCAGAAATTAACTCAAAGTAATGCACAGTAGCTTAATAACATTATCAGTGGGTCACGTGCATTCCTGGGTCAATTCATTCCATTACTTTTTATTCACCAGGATTTTCTATTTTACTGTCTTGACCGTGGATCTATCCCCAATTTCTGGCCATCTTACACTCTACTTATTAGCTAACTAATAAATGAGCTTGGACTTTCATTCCATCATTTGACACGCTGCCTTGGTAAGTAAAACCAAAGTTGGTTTTGTACTGCTTCTCTCTGTCCCACATTGAAATGGTTTCTCTAGTAGCCATTTCATCTACAAAGGTGCACAAAAATGGCCAGAGTATGATCAGTTAGTTACCAAAGGATTTTACTTTCTAGCTAAAGTGAAGAAACTACTCCATAGAAGCACCACAGAGAAAGGGTAGTAAGTTGAAGGGCTGCATCTTGTCTTTACATGGAAATAAAACTGATGAACTGTGGAAGAAATATGCTTTGAAAGTATTTCTCTTAAGTCAGAGCTACACTACACAGGTAAGTATTTTAATATTAATACTCATGTCCCATGACACATATAGGAACAGCTCTAACACCCAGCAATTACCTTTCTCCATTCTAAACCAAAAAAAAAAAAAAAGGGAACCACCAGACTTTCTTCTACTGATGCACTGAAAGAAGCAAAGGGATTTCAGTGTATGTTAAAAAACAAAGTCTTTCTCCACACCATGAAATTACCATAATATCAAAAGGAAGTTCTTCAGTGCCAAAATTTAGAATTAATCTTTAAGAGATTCAACTGTCTATGCAGCTAACTCAAGACACTGACAATGGTTTACCAATAAAACACATCAAGACTTGCTACTAAAAGCTGGACTCTTCCTTTACTTCTCCCCTGCCCCAAATCAAACTGGTTTTATCACAGTCTTCTGCAAAATATAAACACAATTTCATCCAATGAAGATTTGCTCTGCTGGAGAGGGGTAAGCAAACTCCCCTGATTCTCACAAGCAACCACATAACCACTCCAAGTCCAAGTTCCTTTTAAAGCAGGAACCAGAACTGCGTGTGGTAATCTTAGGAAGGGCTACCTAACAAGTAGCCCAGTCAGGTCCTTCAGGGTGTTAAGGAGTTGAAAGTTATTTTTTGTATATTGCAAAAGCATACCCACCTTTACAATTTGTGTTTTCCTCACTTAGATTAGGATTTAATACAATCTGAGCTCTTGAAAGTAAGAAGTCTAATATCAGAAGTGGCCAGTATAGCAGGATTTTAGAAAGAAATAGCTTTTACCACGTTTTCTCATGCTCAGAAATACTAAGTTGCCAGAGTATCAAAAGCACAAGGTATTGGAGCAGCAGCAGGCTTAGAACTCTGTCCAGCTCTGACTCTGGGGGAATTTCCTCAGACTATCTCATCTCCTTCCTCCAGAACAAGGCACAGTAGTTCACATATAGCAAAATACTGAAGAGTGAGAGATTAAAATAAGCACAAAAATATTGTCTTGCGAAAGACAATCTTACACTGCAGTAAATCTAATGAATTTTACCTTGTCTATTTCAGGATTGTTTTTTTCTGTTATTTCTGAAAGAGCTAAAGTGGCTTAAGGACTTGCAAACAAAAGGACAAGCAGTACATGTTGAAAGCAAACTTTTTTTTTTTGTCAGAGTAAATATACATAAGTCAGTAGCTAGCTAAAATAACTAACTCTCTTGAGGCTATTAATCTATACACTTGTGCCCAAGTAGTTCCACCAGCTTCATATTAAAGTGCTGTGAGCAAATTTTTGTACAGATTTTGACTGTGCTATTACTACTATACGATATTTTAATGTATATTACCACAGTACACTACTGTAGCATTGGACGGCAGCATTGCAACCTTCCCTGTCAGTTGGTCAATAGATACATTACTTGTTGATTAACACAGCGAATCTAAGCAGAATGTTAATGAGAAGTGAAGCCACTGACTCTGCTAGCTCGCCCACAAGGGGAACTGCCGCGAACAGGCAGCTCGGGCTGCGCACAGCACGGCCGCTCTCCTGGCTCCCCGAGGAGCAAACGCACACAGACGCCAGCTCCCCCCTGCTCCTAAGGCACGGAGGAGCACGACCACTGACACCGACCACCACCACAAGTCATTTCAGTTGCCACCTCTCCACACATCACAACCCTTGCACTGCAAACGTGCTTTGATGCCTGCACACCACAGCAGCTCCTTCCCCCAGAACAATTACCTCAGCCTGCATTCCCTTACTTGCAGGGAGATGGAGCAGGCTTTGACAAGAGGAATTTTTCTGCTGTGACATACTGTGCCCAAGTTTGGTTTGGCACACAGGCCCTAACCTTCAAGACATCCAAGAAGCATGTTACTTAACTGACTAAAAAATACATTCCTAAAAAACTGATAGAAATGTAACCCTTCCCTTTCCTGCTCCCACCCCTGAATAAGCTCAAGCTCAGGATTTCAACTTTCCTCTGTCTGCATTTCTGAGTCTTTCACCAGCAAATAATGTTCTGTAGAAGTCTGAAAGGGAAGTTTTCCTTTGGATGTGTAATTACATGGACAACACTATCACATATGGTTGAAAACGCCAGAAGTTTAACTACTTCTTAAAATTACCAAAAGCTGTTTCACTAGTATCTATCAATTATCAAGGTCACAAATGCAACTCTCAGTGGTCCAAGAGTTGCTAATTGAGAACTGATGCATTATAGCAGAGACAATATGTAATTCTGTTTCTTATATACCTAAGGACTCCCTGTTGTTGAAGGAACAAAGCTTTTTCTGACACAATATGGCTGTTCTAACACAGCTTATCTGCATTAAAAATAACTCTCTCTAAATCAGAGCCTTGAAATAGAAAAGCATTATGTACAACTAATATGAAAGATCACATCTCCTTTTTAGTGCTACAACATTTAAGATCAAGCAATCAAGCACTGTGATTATTCTGTAAATGCCCCAGGTAGGGCACCAATCGTTTTCCAGCAAGAAAACTAACCATAGCTTGCAAACTCCTCTTAAATTACTTGGGTTAATGACGTTTTAAAATTAATAATGAGTTATTAAAAAACTAAGTGTTACCTAGAACCACGAACTAGAAGGACATTTCCAGTTATTTTAACTTGAGGCTTGACAATAGGAGTGAGTGGGTTTTGGTTGCAGACACTGTCTCTGAAAAGCTGTTGATCTAAAGAAAACATATGCACTAATAACATTTAAGGACCTCAAATGTCTGCACAGCTTGCTTGGTGTTTGGAATCCACTATGGATGGGTGTTTCTACTGTTATTTAAATAACTATACACTTATACACTTTGTGAAAGGATGCATCACTTCACCTTATCAGACTCCAGCTTAGGTTAAAAATGTTATGTTCGATATTTAATACTTCCTATCTTTCTATAACTGTGAGATAGAGGCCACAAGTTTTGCTTAGTGAAAATATCAGCACTTTGTAAACAAAATGCTGATCAGAGAACTAGAGCAGATTGCCCCTAGTAAGGAAGGACTAGAGCCTGTGCTGGCAACCCAAAAACAGTATTTCAACTTCATGAGATTAATCTCTGATTTTGGTTCTGCCCACACAAATCCTATGGTTGGGCAAATCTGTAGTTAGTCAAGAACAGACTCTGCCTCTACTTTTGCACTTCATGTCACATTTCAGTACCCTCAGTTAGAATACGAACAATGCTGAGGTGCCCTGCATTCAATTCAGGGAACAGTCATGTCACACACACTGCACAGCTCAGCAACTGAAAGCATGAAGTGTTTTGGCTTTTTTTTTTTTTTTTTTTTTTGCCCCTTTTTGGGAAAAAAAAAAAAAAAAAAAAAAAAAAAAATTGTGGTCAAGATTCACCCTAAACAGTTCTGTTTGATTTCTGGACCCAGCACAAGAAGAAAAGGCACTATCACCTGATCAACATACCTACAGCTAAAGCACAAGTTCTGCTTCTTTCACAAACAGACCTGGCTTTCATTAACACACCTGCCACCTCACATGTACACTGTCACATCCCCTCAATGGCCTGGGCCTGCAGAAACTCCAATACTCTCGAGTGGAGCATTCTGCTCCTGAGCACAGACAACTGCTCTGCGGTCTAATATTGTTGTTTGCAGCTCCACATTAACTCCAAGACTTTTGGTTCCAGGCTGCCTAGAAATACTGGTTTATTCTCTTCTGAATCATAACACTATTACAAAATACACATTCTTCAGCGAACTCAGCCAAGTTTTATTAAAGTAACTTCAGTGGTTTAGATTTACATTTCTGATGAGAGCAATGAGAAGAGAGCAGATCAGACTTGCAACTGCAGTTTGATCTATCTTAAATATGCACACTTTGGCAGATACACCACAACATGACTTAACCACTCTCGAGAAGTCATGCAAAATTGGCTTGGTCAGCACTAAATCAGTCTAATTTTGGACAAGACTATCACAAGGTCCTCAAGGATATGATTCTTTTTCTATGTGCTTTTGCACAAACCTTAACAATCACAGCATGCAACTGGAATTTCTGAACATTTCTTTTTAATCACAATATCCAGCTTTTACTTGCATAAACCAAAACCAGCTGTCCTTTCGAAGTAGATAATGCAACTCCAGCCAGGCAATTTAACCTAAAGGCAACTTCAGAAATAAGTAAAAATCACATAATGCAAGCTAACTGCCCCGTAAAGTGAAATGTGCAAGCCGGGGACCAAACGCAACTTCAGGTGTTTCAAAGCCCATGTATCACAATTTACAAAACAGAGTAACCTATTTCTTAAACAATAACGGGGGGTGTTGCTTGCGAGAAGGGAAAAAAAAAAAAAAAAAAAAAAAAAAAAAAATTGTGGTCAAGATTCACCCTAAACAGTTCTGTTTGATTTCTGGACCCAGCACAAGAAGAAAAGGCACTATCACCTGATCAACATACCTACAGCTAAAGCACAAGTTCTGCTTCTTTCACAAACAGACCTGGGCAGTAATTAACACACCTGCCACCTCACATGTACACTGTCACATCCACTCAGTGGCCTGGGCCTGCAGAAACTCCAATACTCTCGAGTGGAGCATTCTGCTCCTGAGCACAGACAACTGCTCTGCGGTCTAATATTGTTGTTTGCAGCTCCACATTAACTCCAAGACTTTTGGTTCCAGGCTGCCTAGAAATACTGGTTTATTCTCTTCTGAATCATAACACTATTACAAAATACACATTCTTCAGCGAACTCAGCCAAGTTTTATTGAAGTAACTTCAGTGGTTTAGATTTACATTTCTGATGAGAGCAATGAGAAGAGAGCAGATCAGACTTGCAACTGCAGTTTGATCTATCTTAAATATGCACACTTTGGCAGATACACCACAACATGACTTAACCACTCTCGAGAAGTCATGCAAAATTGGCTTGGTCAGCACTAAATCAGTCTAATTTTGGACAAGACTATCACAAGGTCCTCAAGGATATGATTCTTTTTCTATGTGCTTTTGCACAAACCTTAACAATCACAGCATGCAACTGGAATTTCTGAACATTTCTTTTTAATCACAATATCCAGCTTTTACTTGCATAAACCAAAACCAGCTGTCCTTTCGAAGTAGATAATGCAACTCCAGCCAGGCAATTTAACCTAAAGGCAACTTCAGAAATAAGTAAAAATCACATAATGCAAGCTAACTGCCCCGTAAAGTGAAATGTGCAAGCCGGGGACCAAACGCAACTTCAGGTGTTTCAAAGCCCATGTATCACAATTTACAAAACAGAGTAACCTATTTCTTAAACAATAACGGGGGGTGTTGCTTGCGAGAAGGGAAGGCCTTAAAGTGACACAGCGCACAAACGAGAATTACCACAAAGGCCAGCGAAAGCAAACGCGTTCATGGCATGCAGCGGCACCCAGGGCTGTGCAGAACGTGTTAAACCTTTCCTATCGGCCCGGAACCGAGCTCTGGAATCCTCTCTGTCCCAAATAGTTCATTTACAAGGACTCATTTTTCCTCTTCCCTAATGGCTACATAGACTCTCTGCTTTTACATATTGATTTAGATTACTTAGCAAGACTTCATAGATGCAAGAAGTGTAAAGAAAAAAAACGCTGAGTGATGCAGAATCTATTCTAAAGAGGTTATTAAAAGTTCTGACTTAATGTTTTACCTTGAGAATGAATTATCATGCATGAGAAACACTGAAGTCCTTCGGATGCCCAGTTTCAAAAATTCTCTTTTTTGCCTCCAACTCTCTTCTCAGTAAACCTGTCTTTCTAACTTTCTTATACATTCACAAAGATCCCTTCTCCTTCCCGACATATAAATGTGTGTGTATGTGTATATCTTGAGGCACATAACATTCTCGTACCATTTCGAACTACACCGTGCCATATACCTCCAAAATTAACAGCTTACGTTCAGCTTTTGTCGGTAATCCAGCACGCAGGATCCCCTTCAGACCCTAGCTGTCTGCCGTTCTAAGATGCACAGCAATCCAGTCATACGTGGCCCTATAGCCTGTAGGTCTGGAATTCTTAACGACGCAAAGAAAAACTCTTTCTAGCCTCCCCCTCCTACTCCCTTTCACGCACTAGCACTGGACGGCTTCCCCCGCCACGGGCTTCATACCTGCACTCTACTGGGAACACCTCCGAGCAGCCCCCGGCACGGAACCGCCGCCGGCTCCTCGCCGCGAGGTCCCTTCCCGGAGCGGGAGGCACGGGGGGAGCGGGCCCTCGCAGCGCCGCCGCTCTCACAGCCAGACCCTCTCTCGCTTCCACCTCCCCCGCAGCCGCCCCGCCGGGAGGACGGCGGGACGAGGCGGGCTCTGACCGAGCTCCCGCAGGCTGCAGGCTGCCCGCCGGGCCTCCTCAGCGCCCGGCCAGCGCCGCGGCTCCGGCTCCTGGCCCGATCCCGTCCCGCGGCCTCCATCCCGTCCCGCGGCCGCGCTCCCCTCCCGCCCCTCCCCGAGCGCCGCTGGCCCGCTCCTCCCGCCGGCCGCGTCCTTACCCTTGGCCAGCGCCACCGTGGAGTTCTCGGTGTCGATGGTGTACAGGATCCCCTCATAGCGAATCTCAGCCTTGGAGATGAGGCTGATCTTGCTCCCGATGTAGGGCGTCCCCCCGCTCATGGCGCTGCTTCTCGGTCAGGGACACCGCCGCTGCCGAGGGCTCCTTAAACCAGGCACAAGTAGCCGAGCAAGCCCGCCTCTGAGTCGTAGTAGGCGCTGTCCTCCTGTCGCCCCGAGCCGCCGCTCCCACACGGCGGAACCCTCGGCAGAGCCCTCAGCGGAGCGCTCAACACGGCCCGCGCCCCGCGGCTCCCAACATGGCCGCCGCCTTCATCTTCCCTCACAGCGCCCCCCGCCCGGCCCGCCAGGTGCATGCCGGGAGCCCGGCTACTCTCGCGAGAGCTGCGGACGGGGGACGCTGAGTTGGGGGCGGGAACGTCGCGGAGAGGTGTCGAGGTCCCACGCGCGACGGCGGGAGCGGAGCGCGGGGTTTCGGCCCCGCTCGGCCCCGCTCGGCACCGCCCGGCCCCGCTCGGCACCGCCCGGCCCGGCAGCCCCCAGCGCTGCCCCGGCCCGCCGGTCCGGTGTCGTCGCTCGGCAGCCCCGGCCCTGGCGCAGCTCGTGGGCGGTCACCGGGCAGCTGACAGGAGCTTTGGTGGTGGAGGTTTCGGACTGTTTGAGGGGCCCGGTCGTTGAACGGCAAATCCCGGGGATCACCATGGGCAGTCGACAACCGCAGAAGAAGCACAGGAGCGGGGGGATAGCATCAGTTCGTGTTTCACGGGGATTCCCTTTTACTCTGCTGAGTGTCACATCCTGGCAGCCAGCACTGCGCAACACAGTTGTTGATGAAATCTTGACCAAAGTGTGGGACTAACCCTGGAAAAACACCCTTTTAGTACAAGTAAAACACACAAACACCTCATGATTTTGTGACTGCACTTGATTTGTGCACCTTAAGAAAGAATCACAAATGAGGCTTCTGTTGGAGGCCATGGTACTGCCTCAGCCCCCTGGAAACCACCACCACAAAGACCAGCTTCTGGAAAGGTGGCTTAGCTTTTGTCTCAGCAACTGGACATTATCATGTCACAAAGATTTAGCAAGTATTCTGTTCAGAATTGACCTCTGAAATGCAATAACAAGCCAGACTTTTCCAGAAGGGGCCTGCAGGTGCCTCGGCAGGAGCCAGGCTGGACTCCTGGAAGCTTTGTGTCCGATTTGAGCCGGCTGTAAAGTTTCCAGGAGGACTGGAGGGCCCAGGGAGCTTCACTGTAACTGCTCCCAGCCTGCCCTGAACTGCCTGACAGATTGTGAAGCAAAGCTCTGCTGTAAGTGGCTGGATAGACCGTATCAAGTCTGTGGGACACCACTGTTGGAACTCTGCATTTGTACTTCAGCTCAAAGTAAAGCTTCTGTTTGGAGAAACAACAAATATTCTGTTACAAGGAAAGAGGCTGGTCTGTGGCTGAGTGTCAACCTCTGTTGGACGAGGTGGAGAGGCTTGTAACAGTGTAGAGGATCAGCAACAGCCTGTGTTACATGGATTTCCTGCTGTCTGGAGAGGAGAGGAGTGGAGAGGAGAGGAGAGGAGAGGCTGGTGCATATCTTCCTAAAACTTCTCTCATCTGCCTCTCAAAACTGGAGATGGTTTTTATGGAAACACCCAGTTTAATGCCACAGTATTAGAAAAATGGACATTAAAATTTATTTCATAGTCAGGACTAGTTGCAGAACCACATGTCTACTTTCCATTCTACATTTATAGAATAAGGGTTCCAAGATCATGTAGTTAGAAGAGGAAATAGAAATTTCTTTGAGCTCGGGACACAATAGATGAGCATTTCAGAAGAGAAATCAAATGGAAAACTGAGAGGGTTTATTTTTCACAGAATCCCAGGATGGGTGAGGCTGGCAGGGCCCACAGGGCTGCTCTGGTGCCACCTCCCTGCTCCAGCAGGGGCATCCCAGAGCACAGGCACAGCAGTGTGTCCCTGTGGCTCTGCAATGTCCCCAGGGAGGAGACTGCACAGCCTCTCTGCCCCATCTGCTCAGGGCTGGCACGGCCCAGGGCAGCAGTTCTGCCTCCTGGGCAGGGGCAGCTCCTGGGCTCAGCCCTGCCCGTGGCTCTGGGGCCATGGCTGGGCCCGGAGCAGAGCCTGGGCCTGCCCTGCCCTCTGCACACAGGGACACCCAGGGACACACAGGGACACACAGACAGGCAGACAGGCAGGGACACACAGGGATGTTGTATCGTGCTTTTTGTTTTATTAGTAGGTTTATGGTTTGATTTGTGATTTGGTGGTTTTCCTTGGTGCTTGGTTTTTGTCTCCGCCTTTTCCTAGTTATTTCGTCAGCTAGTTTCTAGTTTCTATTTCTCCAAACTTTACCCATTTGTGAAACTGTTCTTTCTCCCTTGGAAGTTTATTGGTTCACTACTGTTATTCCCCGCCTAGGTTCTTTCTCCCTTTGTTGAAAGTGGGGCCTTCCCCTGACTTTTCCCTGAGATATAAGTCTTTGTTCGCCCCTTGATCAGGAGTTAAAAAGGGGAAGTTTACCATCAAATAAAGTTTCCCTGGGACCCGTGTGCACTGCCTGTGTTTTATACAGTGCCGAAACAATCGACAACTGGGATTCAACGGAGCTCCAGGGGGAAAATCTGCCACCCCCCTCTCTTATCATCAGCTAGCCGGGGAAAGAGAAGCAGCACAGGGACACAGAGGGACACACAGGGCCAGGGCTCCTCTCACTGTCCTTAGGCTGGACAGGCTTAACAGCCTTTTCTGAAACAACCTGTAAGTTTCTGGAAGAGAAAAGTTGGCCAGAATGAACAACAAAAAACAAAACCCAAAACAGACAAACACAAAATCTGCACAGATGCCTAGGAATAGAAAACTACCCCCTAGAAACACTTAAGGGTTAAATTCTAACCATCTTGATGACAAATATTCCTAAGTCTCACCATCAAGTCCTGCCTAGGTTATTAAACAAGTATTTACAATTAACTTTGCAAGCTCCAAAATTCCTATAAGCCGTTTTTAAAATGAAAGTCATTTGCAACTGAAGCGCATGAAACTAAATTTAGACATATTCTGCCTTCCAAGGCAGGGACCCAGGTTTGGTGAAGGATCTACAGCAGAGATCTTATGAAGACCAGCTGAGGGAGCTGGAAAGGGGCTCAGCCTGGAGAAAAGGAGGCTCAGGGGGGCCCTTCTGGCTCTGCACAACTCCTGACTGGAGGGGACAGCCGGGGGTTGGGCTGTGCTCCCAGGAACAGGCACAGGAGGAGAGGGAATGGCCTCAAAGGATGCCAAAGGAGGTTCAGGTTGGATATTGTGAAACATTTCTTCATTGAAAGGGGCTGTCAGGCTGCTCAGGGCAGACTCTCAGTCCCTGGACAGAAAAACATGGTGCTTGGGGACATGAGTTAGTGGTGGTCTTGGCAGTGCTGAGGGAATCTTAGAGGTCTTCCTTAACCTACACCTATGCTATTCCTAGGACACCTCTTAGTACTCCAGTCATCTTCATGATCTCCAATTTTTGGAGTTTATAATTTCTATGTTATACTTAAAATGAGCAGGTGAAGGAATATTTTCATAGTGTAAAGTGAATTTCAATAACATAGATAAAGGGTTCTTCATTTTAACAAGCTATCTCAAAATCTTATCTGAATTGGCAGGTAGAATTTTGATATTAAATTTAAACTAAGATGGTTAAATTTCATCTTTGAAGGCACTGAAAGTGTGTATTTGAGACAAACCCATGACACATAAGCAGGAAAATAGTGCTCCTTTCTAAGCATCTTCACTTCTGTAGAAGACAATAGATTACTTGTCTCCATGCCCTGTTCTCACTCCATGCAGCTGAACAGGGCAGGGGGCTTTGCTGTTATTAATATTTTATCTTGCTGAGTTATTTAATGACAAACTTGGGCTGTGAGCAGGGCACAGGCCTGAGCAGTGCTGAGAACTGAAGAGCAGCTCTACAAGTTCTGTGGTGGATTTTCTTTACAGGCAATTTTGAAACCATTGTTGGAAGTTAACTTTTCTAAAGACCATTCCCTTCCTCAAAGAGAAAATAATTCAAAAAAGACTGTATCTTAAAAGATCAGATGAGATGATCACTCATTTTGCTTTTTCTTTTTTTTTTTTTTTTTCTACTGCACATATATAACTCTGAAAAAAATGGTTCTTGTGATGAAATGCATGAAAATATTTGGAAAATATTTTTATAATAGAATTAATACAAAAGTTCAGAGAGATTCTGTACTTTACTAGAAATATTTTTCCCCAGTAAAAGCTCAAGCCCAAAAGCAGTTTCAGCAACAATTTTATAAACATTCTTAGGTATGTCCTCACCTCTTGACTTAAAGGAAGTCCAGTGTGAGTCAGTATGCATCATGTTTTTTAAATAAAACATTCTACTACACTTCTTTACTCTCTGTGTTTATATATATAAAATACCTCAATTTAAAAGGACTGGACTGGGGAGAAATACAAATTAATATTTTACAGATTACCCATGCACAAATGTACATTCAAATTGTAATACTTGCCATTTTCTCTGTCCAGTCAGAAGATAACTTTTAGCTTCTAAAATTACAAAGCAATTCACTTTCTTCCACAGTGGTTTTTATGGAAACACCCAGTTTAATGCCACAGTATTAGAAAAATGAGCACTAAAATTTGTTTCATAGTCAGGACTAATTGCAGAATCATATGTGTAGTTTTCCATTCTCTTACGAAAACTCTGGAGATGGTCATATACAAATGAAGTTCAGGAGCAACTAAGTGAGGACTGCATGGAATTTTCTCTGATAAAATCAATAAAGTGTGTGACTCATACAAAAGTAATATTGGATAGATTTCTATTTTGCCGATCCCAAATAATTATTCTTTATATTTGTGCAATAGCAAATTGAATCTCAATATTTACTGTGTTTTAATTAAACTTCCAGATAGAAGCATTTCTTAGAAATCCAAATTTAATTTAGCTGTAGCACTCCACTAAAGCAATGCTCATTTTCTAAGCAAGTTCTTGATGCATAGATCTCTTGTGTACATTTAATGCTGCTTTTTATAAACACTGCTGTACTTTCCCATTCATGCACTGCACCATCTCCTGCTCATACACCCTACCAAGCCTTTGGACCCTCAGTATTTTCACTGGCGACTTTCTTGAAGAAATATGCACAGGTTCAATTTCGGGAGACATTTAAACTTATCCTAATTAAACTGGTACAACCTATATTTAATGCATTTTCAAAGTGGTTTCTTTTGATTCATCATGACCTCGCTCCTAAAGGACAATCAGGAAAAACTACCCTGAATAAAAATGTAACCTCCTTTGAGAGGAAACAGAGCA